AATTGCTCTTGTGATAAACTAAAAAGTCTCTCTTTTGTAGACAAGATAAAGTATATGGAATATTAGGAAACGTACATGGTTGCAAAGTACAATCGTTATATGTGTATATAGATATATGTATAATCATGATATGACTGGAGTTAAATTGTCAAACCACCTATCCCACCAGCTTTCTTCAAGAGGCTCTGAACACTGGCGCATCCACCAAAGAATACACTACTCCCGTTCTGATCGTGGACATCAACTGAAGAACCTCCTAAGCACCCACAGCAGACTTAAGGCTTTCCCCACCCGAGTAACAACCCAGGAAGGTGACGGAGAGCTTCCCAGACTGAGCCAGGCTCATCAGCAAGGTTTCACTAAGTATTTGTGAAGTTGACTCCTCCTGCTCTCTCAGCCCTCACCTTCCATTCCCCCACTAAGTCCTAAATAGCTCTTAGATCTGCCCACTTCTCTCCACCTCCAGCCACCTTCAGCCCCGTCCAATCTCTCACCTGTCCAATCTCCAAAAGCTTCATGACTGGTCTCCCTATGTGACAGGGTGTCCTCGTACCAGCTCTTCTGAGAGCGGATTGTTAAACATTCGGGAATTCAGTGAGACCCGCTAATTAAACTGTCAGTGGCTTGAAACAAGCCATGGTGGGAGTAGTTACCCCATGGAAACTGGTAAACACTACTACTCAGGATGTTACTTTGGGGAGCCAATTTCCCAGCACATCACTGCCTGGGCCCCCTCCAAACTCTTCCTGCAGTCAGAGCAGGAAGAGCCTTCCAACAGCTTCCTGTTGCTCTTCAGATAAAAACGAAAGCTCTTGGCAGGGTCTCACTGTCACTTTCTACATTCCAGCCTCCCTTGCGCCCAGCTCCCCCCCTTCCTCCCTTCTGGTCCTGCTGGCCTTTCTGTCCCACCTGCTTGCCAAGACCTGCCCCACCACAGGGGTTCTGAATAGGCGGCTCCCTCTTCCTGGAACTCTCTTCCCACTTTCTTAGCCCGGCTAAGCCCAGTTAACTTCTACCAATAACTCAGGTCTCTACTTAAGTGCCACTTCCTTAAAGCAGCCTCTCCCCCCAACCCCCCACTCCCGACCTCCTGACTGATCCCACCTCCTGGTATAAAGTATCACTGCTGTGGGCCCCTCTCCATGTCACACTTAGGATAGTTGGGAGCTTACATTTGTAATGACAGATTAATGGCTCTTTCCCTTTTCCAAAAAGATCTTTAGAGGGGCGCCTGGGTGGCTCAGATGGTTAAGCGTCTGCCTTCGGCTCAGGTCATGATCCCAGGGTCCTGGGATCGAGTCCCACATCGGGCTCTCTGCTCCTTGGGAGCCTGCTTCTCCCTCTGCCTCTCTCTCTCTCTCGGTCTCTCATGAATAAATAAATAAAATCTTAAAAAAAAAAAAAAAAAGATCTTTAGAGAAAGTGAATGACTTTATGCACCTAACATGTGTATAATATAAAGACAATTGCTATGGGGGAACTGAAAGAAAGCCAAAGCCAGACAGGGCCCTAGCTGACCAGGAACTTAGAGCCTTGACAAGACACATTCTTATACACAGACAAAAGGGCAGTATATGAAGCATGCCAAATGAGTGGAGCTAAGGGAATTCAATGGAAAAACGAATTTCCATAGAATGAAGGAGTCCATGGCAGGTTTATTGAGGAAGTGGTCTAGAGCTGATCATGGAGGAATGGGCAGAATTACGTAAAGCTGTCCAGGAGAGAGAGGCTTGTCCCAGAGAAGGCGCAGCCAACCAACTTGTTGGGAGCCAACAAGCGGAGGTAATGCTAGAAAGATAGGGTAAGGCTAGACTGTAAAGAGGCCTCAAACAGCAGAATGAGGAGTTTGGCTTTTAAAAAATAAAGAAAAAAAAAAAAAAGAACAATGATCAACAAAATGAAAAGGCAACCTAGGGAGAAGATATTTGCAAATGATATGTCCAATAAGGGGTTAGTATGCAAAATATAACAACTTAACAACTCAACACCAAAAAACCCTAACAATCCAGTTAAAAAATGGGCAGAAGACCTGAACAGACATTTTTCCAAAGACATACAAATGGAAAATGGACACATGAAAAGATGCTCAACATCACTCATCATCAGGGAAATGCAAATCAAAACCACAATGAGATATCACCTTATACCTGTCAGAATGGCTAGAATCAAAAAGACAAGAAATAACAGGTGTTGGCGAGGATGTGAAGAAAGAGGAAGACTTGTGCACTGTTAGTAGGAATGCAAACTGCTGCAGCCACTGTGGAAAACAGGATGGAGGTTCCTCAAAAACTTAAAAACAGAACTATCATATGATCCGGTAATTCCACTGCTGGGTATTTAATCACAGAAAACAAAACCACTAATTTGACAACACTAGTATCTGCACCCCTATGTTCACTGCAGCATTATTTATAACAACCAAGACAGAGAAGCAACCTAAGTGTCCATCAACAGATGAATGGATAAAGAAGATGTGGGAGATATATATATATATATATATATATATATATGTATATATATGCAATGGAATATTACTCAGCCATAAGAAAGAATGAAATCGTGCCATCTGTGGCAAACATGGATGCACATAAAGGGTATTATACTAATTGAAATAAGTTAGAGGAAAAAATGTCACATGATTTCACTTCATGTGGAATCTAAGCAAAACAAATGAAGGAACAAACAAAAAAAAAAGTAGAAACAGACTCATAAATACAGAGAACTGATGGTTCCCAGAAGGAGAGAGTTGGGGGATAGGTGAAACAGGTGAAGGAATTAAGAGATACAAACTTTCAGTACATAAATAAGTCATGGGGGGATGAAAAGTACAGCATTGGAAATACAGTCAATAATACTATAAGAACACTGTATGGGGACAGATGGTGACTATATCACGGTGAGCACTGTATAATGTACAGAATCATCAAATCGTTGTACACCTAAAACTAATATAACAATGTATGCCAACTATACTTCAATTAAAAGATAAAATAAAAATGAAAAACAAATTAAGGGTTTTGAACAGGGGAAGGAACTTGAAAGTAGTAATTCTAGAAGACCAGCCTACACACACACACACATTTTTTCAGGCCTATATCTATAAAGCCAGGAACAAATTCCATCTGACAATAGCTTTCCAAACTCACAGAGCAGACGGAGGCCATTTTGAGCTAGAGAGGACAGACACATGGCACAGCTGGACAGAACTCCTTTTGAGGGAAACCAAACAACTCTAGTTCAGCTGCTGCGAGACAGATGCTGTAGTCAAGAATCTAAAAGCTGTGGCCTATCTAGAAGCAGCCCAGACCAGGTTTAAGTGGGGCCATAGAATGATCTGGCTCTTACGTTGTAATGCGAGGCCCATGGTTATATTCAGAGCAGAACACATTTGAGCCAGTTGTGGTGTTTTGTTTTGTTTTTTTTTGAAGATTTTATTTATTTATTTGACACAGAGAGAGACAGTGAGAGAGGGAACACAAGCAGGGGGAGTGGGAAAGGGAGAAGCAGGCTTCCTGCCGAGCAGGGAGCCCGATGCGGGGCTCGATCCCAGGACCCTGAGATCATGACCTGAGCCGAAGGCAGTCGCTTAACCAACTGAGCCACCCAGGCGCCCCGAGCCAGTTGTGTTTCTATGGCCCACTTGGCCATAGTGTTTGCTGGAATTCTGGCTTCCGGGTTGAACGTGGGAATTACCGTCCTCCAGCTCTGGCTCCCGCATTCCTCCAGGGGTCATTCCATCTACTCAAAGCTGACAGGACTCAGGGCAGGGCCTAGAATGTCTTCCAACTGATAAAGGAGGGTGGCTGTCTGGAATGACGCTCTCATGTGGCTGGCCAGTAGGCTTGATGACTCTCCCGCGGGGTTCTGCAGCGGGCTCCTAGGAAGCGGGGCACAACCTGCCATCCCTTCAGCCCATAAAAGCGCTCAGCAGCCCCTGATCAAAAAGCAGGTGCCTTCCTTCGAGGACCTCACAGGTCTGATTTTGGAGTCAGAAAGCTAACTTTAGTTATTTGGTGACTGAGGGTTCCCTAGAGCAGTGGTCTCCAAACTGGGTGTATGTGCACCAGGGTTACCCAAGACTGGAATCCAAAAGAATTAAAAAGAAATTAAGCTTTTCTGATATTAGCTTTATGACACCCTCCTCACATTATTTTTCAGAAGAGCACATATCACTTGTGATTCCACAGGCACTGGTGGACAGGGGCCCTGGCTTAGGTAGATTATGGATTGTATTATCCAATTTCAATAAAATGACTCTCATAAAATGGATAAGTGCCTAAAGAAATTCCTGCAGAGAACTTCAGTACATGTAACACCCGCACAAGCAAACAGGAAAATGGAAGAACTAACGCTCCTCTTGTGAGAAACTCATTTCAGACACAGGAGTAAAAACAATGAGGATCTAATCAGATCTAAAAAAAAAAAATCAGCCCAAATAATTCCAAATTATAAAAATTCTTTGAAACATGGATTTTCATCCACTACCCTTAACGATAATTCTCACTTTCATATGGATCTGTATATCCTGCGCTGTGCAGTATTGCAAACAATACTGGGAAGGTATCATAATTAGTACATATTTAAAATATTTTTAAAGCAACTTTTTAAACACTTAAATATATTTTACTATGGTCATCCTTTAAATTTTTCTATTTTTGTATGTTTTGTAACATGTAATATATTAGTACATGATAGTGTGATGGTAGCACAGATACTAATTTAAGATACATAAAACTGAGGCTAAAAACTTAAAATACTTGTACTATTTATTTGGGGAGCATAGTCAGTAAAGTTTGGAGACCACTTAGAGTCAGCTCCGCAGCTCTGAAGCCCCTTCCCAGTTCCACCTTCTCACTCTCTCCCAAGAAGCCCCTGGCCAAAGGTGAGCCCCATCCCCCACCCAGCAGAGTGTGGGGCAGAGGTGATTCCAGGGGAACCTGTCTTCCCCACCTCCGACCCTTGCTCGCCCTTAGCTCTTCCCAACTCCACAGAGGCCCTACCTGATTGTGCCATCGGATGACGTTTCCAAATCCCCCTGTCCCAAGTCGTTCTTTCATCTCCCAGGCCCCACATGTCTGGGTTGGCAGAGAAGGTGACCAGCTCATACTGATGCCGTGCTAACTCTGTAAGCAATTTGGAGTGGGGGACAAAGGATTAAAAAAAATGAAACTCAAGGAGATAGACGGAGAAGGTAAGAAATAACATTTACCTTCGATGCGAGAGACGAAAAACCTCAGCTGGTTTTCATTTTGTAAATAAACCAGGTTGTCTGGTTTGTTTTGGGGTTTTGGTAGCAAACTTTTTTCTCACCTTCCCCCACCCCCACCTCAGCTGTTGTGGAAGGAGGCAGAAAGGAAAGACACTCAAAGGAGACGTTACTCCACAACCCCTGAACTCGAAAGGGCATCCCAGCCTAGACTCCAGCAAGGGGCGCCCTGCCCCGCGCGCATTCTGCTCAAGGTGTCAGGGACAGAGTCTAACGTTGCGATTCCCCACGGTCACGTGTGTCTTCACACAGTCCAAATGAATCATGGCTCTCTCTCCCAAAGCCACCACCTCCAAGAGGCCACCTGGAACCACCCGAGCCAGAGCTGTTCCGGGCCTCCCAACCCCACCCCGCGCAAGAGACAGGTTTGTACGCCCAGAAACCCCGACTTTTAAACTCGACAGAAGTTCCTTCGGGAGCCTCAAGTGAGGAGGGAGGTGCGAGCTCGCCGGTGCAGAGGAGAGGCGGGGTCTGCAGGTGGCACCAGGGGCCCCCCCGCGCGGCCGCCCGAGGGACTCACCTGTCGGCAGGGACGCGGGGCAAGGGAGACGCTCCCCGGGGCGGGGGAGGCGGGGGCTGGGGCGGCAAAACCGGGGGCTCTGGCACCTCCCCGAAGACATTAAAATGCGGGAATCTTAAACCTGCCAGCCCAGCGCGACTTCCTCAAACACTTCCTGCTCTGACGTCACGGAGCACGTGGGCCGCCGCGGGCCCTTAAAGGAGCCGCGGGGGGCGCCAGCCCAGACCACGCCCGGTACCCGCGGCCGCGCGGGGGACCCCCTCGTCCTCGCCCCGGTGACTCTGGGAGGGCTGCGTGTGGCTTCTAGGCGGCTCCGGTCAGCCCTGCACAGGCTGTGCTCCCTGAAATAAAAGAGTGCCCCTAAAATGAACCCGAATGCGCCAAACTGTTTAGACAGTGACTTTAACCTGATGCAGTTTCTGGACAAGGGGAGATGGGGATTTCCTCACCAGAGCCCTCCTGGGGTGAACTTGACACCGCTTCCTAGACCTTTAACTAGGTGGAATTTCCCGCGCCCCCGCCAGGATTTATTTAGGGACGGTTTACAAGAATTGCCCGGGCCTCCTCTCCTCAGGCTGCGTCCCCTTTATCTGGAGGATTTTTGGCTCGGGATCAAGAATGATAAATCACAGCTGTACTCCCTAGACGTGTCAGCCCCCACTCCCCCCTTAAAAAAAGTAAAGAAAAGAGGGGGGGAATCTCGTAGTGTTAACGAGAAACTGCAGTTTCAGCCGCAGTGATGTAGGGAAATTGTGAGAGAAGCTCACAGCCCTGAAGTTCACCGTTCTACTCCTACCTACTTGACATGATTAAGGTCTTTTGCTATGGAGTTTCTCAGGTCTGTGGCATTATGCTATCACACAAAGGTGGTGTGTGTTGGTAAATTTACTCAAGCCGGAAAAAAGGCGTTAAAGGAAACTAAGATAATAGCTCGCATTTATAAAATGCTTACCAAGTGCCTGGCACTATCTACATACACTCTGTACTTAGAATTCGTCATTCAAATCCTCAAGGCAACCCTACACATGGGACAATAACTGCATTATTGGTATCTCCATTTTGCAGATGAGAAGACTGATGTGCAGAGAGGAAAATATGTCAAAGGCACAGGCTAGTAAGTGGATGAACTGATATTCCAACCCAAGCGGCTGGTTCTTAGCTCCAAGCTCTTAATATTCGGTTAGAAGTATCATACTAAGAATTTCAGAAGGAGGCAAACTGGATTTTGAATCCTAATACTGCTATTGACTACGCTGAGATTTTAGGGCCAATTACTTAACGACTCCAAGCTTCCATTTCTCTTCTTTAAAATGTGGGCAACATTAGGTTGAATTGCATGAAATTGCCATTTTTTAATAAAACAGAAACAGTTGAAACACCAGCGACAAACATCAGTGGTTTCATCTGGTTCAGCCTAAGAGCAGCAGGGAAGACAGGAGAGTACACACGTCCGAGAAACGAACCAGCAGGGTTGTTGTAGGGAGTTAATGAGAATAACCATGCCTGACACGGGACACTCCTGCCTGCACGGAGCCTGAGGCCAAAGTTAACCCTTAGGAACATAGTGATGTGATTTGAAATGGTGGGGCTCAGAGCCCACGGCAAGAAAGAATTCTTGAGACATCTTCAGTGCAAAAGGTGTTTTATTAAAGCACGGAGACAGGACCCATAGGCAGAAAGAGCTGCTGCCCCGGGGACTGTGAGAAGCAACCAATTATATACTTGGGAGTTGGGGGAGGTAAAGACCAAGGGAAGTTTCCAAAAGGACTTTCAGATACTAAAGAGGACTCACAGAATCCTGGAGGCCTTGTTATTGTCAAGCCAAGGCTGTTTTTCCCTCTAGCAAAACATCAACATTAAGACAGCTGGGAGTTTCCTGGAGGAATGTTACACTCTGCCTGCTTCAATGGGCTGCAGGTTATAAGGAAATTTAATTTTATCTACATTTCCTTCTGCCGTTGTTCCCCACATCATTCAGAACAATTCTGACCCTTAAATCTTTAAGGTTGTTGAGGGTGGAAGTGCTTATCTTCTGTAACTTCTTCCTCCTTCCACCTCCTGGGGCATAGAGGTGTATAGGAGTTACCAAAGTCAGAGGCAGCCAATCCAAGGTAGACAACATATATGAACCCCCTTGAGTAGAAAGGATTATCTGTCGTTTGGAAGTTATGGCAGTGAAGAAGTCTTGGCACCAGGCAGGGAGACACAAGAAAAGACAACAAAATAAGGTTAATATTATAATAAGAAAGAGAAGCCCAATAAAAATGGCATTGATAGTTAACTAAAATTTTTCTCCAGTCCTTTATTGTCGTTTAAAGAGAAATTTGAGATCTTCCACAGGTTCACAAGAATAAAAAGGCACGTTAGTTTGCTCCTTAGTTTCCCGTGAAGGAGGTACAGGTTTTATTCTAGATCTAGCAGCCCATGAAGAGTGCCCCTCTAATTGTATTGCAGTGGGAGCACATAATATGACCCAATAGGGGCCCTTCCATTTTGGAGTTAAATCCCCTGCTGTATTAGATTTCCAATCCTTTAAATAAACCATCTCTCTGGGGTTTATATGGGGTGGGTTGCTAGTGACTATCAGATCAGTTTTAGGGAGGATATAGTTTGCATTTTCATTATTTAGAGATTTATGAATTAACCTGGCCTCAAGTGAATAATTTAACAGAGCGTCATAGTATCCATCTCTTGGTAGGTATACAGTGAGAAAAGGTTTTTTTCATATAGTAACTCAAAGGAACTTAACCCTATTGGTTGTTTTGGGGGCAATCCTCACTCTGAGAAGCCTTAACAGTAAAAGAGTAATCCGGTTTTCTTGAGTCACAATACTTAAAATAGAATACCTACAAAGATGTGTTATTGAAACATTTTCTCTATAGTCTAATCACCCTAATTTTAACAGAGATAGCGGGGCGCCTTGGTGGCTCAGTCATTAAGCATCTGCCTTCGGCTCAGGTCATGATCTGGGAGCCGTGGAACTGAGCCCCACATTGGCCTTCCCGCTCGGTGGGAGGCCTGCTTCTCCCTTTCCCTCTCCCCCTGCTTGTGTTCCTGCTCTCGCTGTCTCTCTCTCTGTCAAATAAATAAATAAAATCTTTAAATAAATAAATAAATCAGAGATAACCAAATCAAGACTAATTCATTTCATAAACAAGTCCAGTTTTAACAAACTTGGCCTAATTATTTACATAAGCTCAGCAAGAATAATGATTGATGATATAGATCTTTTAGAATGTGCTTTGCTGGAACTTTTTGTAAGGAATCTCCAGGTTGAACTTTTAGTAGCATCTCTAGGCCAGAAACCAAGTCAAATAAACTTGCCATCAGACATGCCTGCAATACCTGTAGATTTGGGAGAATTCCTCTTCCTGAGGTCCCCAAGGTATCCTGAGGTTCCTGCACCTGCCAGGAAGTGACATTCTTTACTCACCTGGTAAGGCTGCTGGAAATTCTGTAAGCAAGGTATCAGGCCAACATTTCCATGGGGCTCTATTGGCTTCTTGCTTCATAAAGTCAACCTTAGTTCCTTAAAGCTGTCTGGTGACATCTGAGTCTATGCAGGTCTCTCAAATATGATAATCCAGTCAAAGCCTTGGAAAAATAACTAATGTTTCTAATGATGTCCTGTTACAAGGAGAACAGATTCTTAACCAACTGAGCCACCCAGGCGCCCCAAGGAGAACAGATTCTTATTGAACCTATGCAAATGACTATGATTGCTGTGGAAGAAAGAATACTTATTGAGACCTTTTGAATTTCAGAGGGTTCTGCTAGAGAGAAAAGTTAAATGCTTCAATTTATTCACAGAAGAATATTTTATCCTATTTCTGTACATGATGGATATCTTAAGAGAAATTTCCTTAACCTGGAAGAGCAAACATTACAAAACCAGCAATGTTTCAAACAAGAGTCACAAAAACCATAATCATCTTCTTCAGTTCATTTAGTCTCATGTTACTGATTCTTGGTTCCATGTGAATGCAGCTTTTAGTTCTGGAAATTTTTACCAATTTTAGTTTTAGGATTTTAAAGATATCAAAAACCTGTATTTGTCAAAAGCCTTTTTTATGAATCTCCTTGAAGATGAAACACATTTCACGAGAGAATAAGAACAATAACTATAAATGATAAAAGACTCAAAAATGGACATGGTTAAAGTTCTGATGAGAGGTTACAATATAGCTGGCAAGGAAATCTGGTCATTTCTGTGACACATAGCATATCAATAATCAGAATATTAAGTGATGGCCTTATACCAAAACATATTGAAACTTTGGGAATTGCATATAATCTCTAGAATAGTTATAGCATTTACCCAAGCAATACAATTCAAGTCTCATTATTTGTTTAACAGTGCTTCCAGAATAACTTAACATACCAAATAAGCAAGGCTATTGGTCAAAAAGACTTCATTTATAATTTAAATCTTGGGAAGTATGTTAAAAAAAACAACTCAGTTATAAAGCACATGCCTGAATAGTGGATTACAGATCATTACAAAGCTTATAACTTAATTATTTATTTAACCTTTAACCAAGGTGACAATAGGAGATTCAAAAGGCAGATATGTAGGGTTATATAGCTGAAAACTTACCTTGAGATTTATGTAATCAAAGACCTGATAAAGAGAAAACATAAGTTTTGTTTTTCTGGGCAGACAAAAACAAACAAACAAACAACCCTTTGTTTATATTTTCTTATCAAGTGCAAACCAACATCCAAGAAAACTTTTTTGAACAGAGAGAAAAGCAGAATTTCAATCTCATACCAGTGTACCTTTAAAATCCTTTCCTTTTGACTTTAACCCTGACCACATACAAAAAAAATTCCTTTCCAGGGGTGCCTGGGTGGCTCAGTCAGTTAAGCGTCTGCCTTCAGCTCAGGTCATGATCCCAGGGTCCTGGTATCGAGCCCCGCATTGGGCTCCCTGCTCAGTGGGGAGTCTGCTTCTCCCACTCCCCCTCCCCCCACTCATGCCTGCCCTTTCTGTCCCTCTCTGAAATAAATGATCTTTTTGAAAAAATTCCTTTCCAAAGATTTCCCTATATAAATCTTTTACAACTTTTCGTTCAGAGTTGCTTCCCTTATTTCCATCAGTCTTAACTACATTTGCAGAATTTTGCACTCTTGGAAACCTTAGTCTCCAGTGAAAACTAAATAGTAACCAATTGTGAACTGTTATGACAGAATTTTTCAATAACAATTTTATAAATACATTTCACAATTTTAAAAACAGGTTTTTTCATAGTACAATCTTTTAATAAAGCACAAAGCATATTTACCAATAGACCCTAGTATCCTCAGCAATAAGAAGCC